TTTTTTTTTAACGGGGCGGGGCGGGGACCCTGTTACCTGTTTAAGTGGGTCTTCCCCTCTCTGTTTGGGGTGGGTCCCCGCGGGTATCGAATTTGTCGGATTTTTTTGTCATCCCTATATCATTGTCTACTTCGGAAATCTTAAGGGAAAAATTTATGGTTCAGGGATTTACTTTCAGGAAATTAAAAATCAGATCCCAAAGTTTTAAATTACAAAACTCAGGTTTTTTATTAATTTATTAATTATATTTTACAAATAATATATTAAATTAAATATTTAACTATAATATAATATGATTAACCCACTCCACCCCACCTCCATCTCCATCTCCACCTCCACCGCATATTTATTATAAGTTTGGGACCTTCCTTGGCACAAATCAAAGGTTAGGGTAAAGTGCGCAAAAAATTGAAAGGTTTGGGACCGCAACTGCAATTATCCCCTATTACAATTAAAATATAAGCGTCCTCAAATTCAATTCAAGCTGAACAAATATACTAAGGCAAGGCAAATACAAAAATAAAAACCTAACTAACGGTGTTCAATCTCAACTTGAAAAGGAAAGCGAGGACCCAAACCCAGCCAAGCCGAGCCTTTCACCGCCGTCCGGTTGGTTGCTTGATATGGACATTTTGCTGCATTAATCCTGCTTTACAATTTACAAAATCAATCTTAGCCCATTTAAACAAACGAAATTGTTCTCATCTCTACTTACAGTTACTGATGTGGTAGAAGAACTTTATTTACGATTCTCTTCAAATGTGAAAATCGTAAAGTGGATAAGATAAAACTTAACACCGTGAACAGGAGAACATTCCTCTTTATACAAAAATAAAGAACCAAAGTAAAAAAAATAAAAAGTCGCTTTTCTCTATGCAATATCTGTAGCTTAATTCTTTTCTGATTAGTCAATTGTACGGCAATCCAATCGGTATATTGGTCTTTAAGTACATGTATTTTTTGTGGATTAATTCTTACCGATTTTTCCTCTTCTCCAGGAACCAGGCTAGCGAATTTTTCCTTGCCATTGGTAAATCTACAAACGCACAGAAAAATATAAAAAAAAAATACCAGAAAAAATTATAGTGAATAATATAATGTGAATATATAGCTTACCAGAACCAAGGGGTGCCTGAGGATGGTAGTGAAGGCGGTCAAACCCAGGGTCATTGGTGGTGGATTCAGCTGGACTTGGCACCATATAAGATGGCGGAAAGGCATTGGTGGGGTTCTTCTGACCAGTGGCTACCATCATAATCTCATTGGCCTTTCCCACCGAAAAATTATTGAACACGTGTACTCGATCCGCATAGAATATAACCATCTGTGCAGTTTCTGCCTCGGATCTGTTCCATATAAGTAATTAGCCAAATTACGCTGGAACCAAAACCTAATTAGAACAGTCAAAATGAAGAAACCAACCTAATGACAGTTTTATTCTGAGCTTCTTCCATGCTAAAGGTGGAACCCATGGGTGGACCTGCACAGGGGCCTACAGGGGCCTAGGCCCGGCGGGGCGCGGGGCGGTGCGGGGCGCGGCGTGTTGCAAGACCGTTTTCCTGCCCCGTTTATCTTTTTTATAATTTTTTTTTTGTTATAAAAAATTTCCAGTTATACGGTTAAG